TAGAAGGCTCAGAAAAATGAGGACCTCAAAAATGTCCTCATTTTTCTGAGCGTCCTCATTTTGTGAGTGTGTTATCATAAAATTGTCCTAAGATGTCATGAAAACAAGTACACACACACACACACACACACACACACACCAAGACGTAAACATGCAAATATAGAAACATATGCGCTCAAGCATGTCTGCTCTTAATCAGGCTGGCGGGGACGCAAACAAACACACAGAGAAAAACTCACAATCTAGTTTAGCAGAAGACATCTGCATGTGGAAAAAATTGGAAAATTTACATCGTCTAGGGATTCCACTCATTCAGAATTTTGTCAGTCAAATCAGATTTCAGCATTTCAGGGAGACACTTTGAATATGCGCTCCCTTTTTTTTAAACATATGGATTTAGCTGAATAATGAGCCACATAACACACATGTTTATCTTTTCAAGTTAAGCTATTTTAGCCTCATTTTGACTCACTGGAAAGAACATCAAATGAAATTCATGGATCACTATGAGTAGTTTGCCTTGGCTGTTAGTTCTTTCACACAGAGGTAAAATTTAACTTTTTAATGATTCTTCGAAACTTAAAAATGCTGGTGTTACTTTCCTGTCACCTGGCTCGTTAATTGTTAACCTACTGTTTGGAACAACTCTGCGGTGGTGAGTGGGGAGGAAACCAGGGAGACCGATGTAATGCTGCATTCTTACAGAGCAGGCAACACAATTCAGTTATTTATCTCCTACGGATAACAGACACTGTATGATTACAGGAGCTGAGAGATGGAGTTTCAACTGGCGATCGCTGCTTTCACGCACTCTCTTTGCAAACTTCCCACAACAAGGGAACTACGCCACATGCAGGTTCCTTAAAGTGGCAGGTTTGGCCAATAGCAAGAGAATCGTTCCACGTTGTTTATCTACATAATTTATCCATAATTATGTAGATAAACAAATGCTTGATTCCTAGTCACATTGGGGATGTTTGACTAATGTTTTCAGGGCGCCTCCCTCATGTAGACCCTTGTCTTTATTTTACAAAATCAACTGCCTCAATCTGGGGAGGTTTTTTTTACCCTTAAATAAATAAAGTCATTTGATTTCAAGCTGATCACTGGTCCCTGTTTTCTCCTGCATGTGAGACTTAGCTTTGATTACATATTACCTAGCTTGATATCAGACATACTGAATATGTCAACTCAAGTTTTCATTTTCAGTCTCATGTTGCATCCACTCTAATCAATTACTGAAGGGGATTCAAATTTTCCTAATAAATCAGGAGAGACCAACATTCCCACTTATATTAATGTCATATTAAGCCAACACTGATCTCTAGCCATGCCAATATATTGGTTCGTCAAGGGTTTTAAAAGCAGAACAGAATGATTGGCTAATTATTAATCCTTCTGCGCTGCTCACAGGAGTGTTTTTTAATCAGAGAACCTCTGTTTTATGTCACAATGCCAGACAAGTGAACAGTGAACAGATTTAGAGGGTGATTCTGAGGAAATGACACAGGGTCCAAGAAATATAACAAAGAGATTCAAAAGTCAAATTGTACTTAAAAACCTTTAGTCGTATCTGGGTTTTTTTTTGTTGTTGTTGTTGTTTTGTTTTTTTTGAGAAACTGTGCAAGAATGGTCTTGATGCAAACTAATTTTATAAGCATGCTCCATTGTACCCGTGCAGCTTATTTGATATCAAATGAGAAATTCATGAAAAAGTGCAGAGTCACCTTTAGCTGTGTGGGTGGGGTGTTGAGTGTCCAGGTGTTCCACTTGCCAAGTGCTGGTTTATTTTGTTTCATCTTATCTGTATGAAGTAGTAAGATTGACAAGTAAGAATGGGTTCTCACTGGAAGATGCATTAGAAACATTGCAGTCTGAGTATGTCAGCCATTATGAGAAGGCTTGTATGTGTGAGCCAGGAACCAGCCCTGAGACTATATGTTTATTCTTTCGATTTGTGGATGCCCAAAACTGAAGAATTACTTTTATTCAATCCAATTCAAATCACAATGCAAGTCGTCTCAGGGGCATTTTACTCATTAAGGTTAAGAACTTATAATATATACAGAAACACAACAATTCCCTTTAAGCAATCACTTGCTGACAGTGGGGAGGAAAATCTCCCCTTTACTATGAAACAAACCTCTGGCAGAACCAGCCTCAGTGAGGGCAGCCATCTGCCTCAGCCAGTTGGGGTTAGAAGAGAGTAAAGACTGAAGAGAGGAGCACAGAATAAAAACAAGAAGTGGGCAATATAATAGACAAAGTGTTGAACCACAAGTGCCTGCACAAAGGGTATATGGTAAAAAAAAAAAAAAAAAAGAGGACAAAATGGATGAAGCAAAAACTGCAGGAAAGAGAAGACACAAAATGAATAAGATGCAATGCTGGCTTATATAAATGTGTGTGGAGTGAAAGAGAGGAAGTAGAGGAGCAGTGCAGACTGTGAGAATTACCCCAGAAGCCCAAAGCTATAGCTGCAGAATCAAGGGTGGTTCAGATATACCCAACGTTAACTATAAGCTTTATCAAAAAGCACGTTCTTAGAAGCAGCGAGGCCGTCTGCCTCTCAAACACAAACAAGTGAACGTTGGATTTGAGAGCAAATCATGCTGTAGGGGTAATGTGATGCCTTAAATGTGTTGCTATAAATGCTTTTTTTTGGGTGTGCAAACTATTTTAATTGTATTCTGGATTTTACGTGGGTCAAAGAAGAAAAATTAATCTGGGTAACATTTCTGTCTATTTCCTGTACTTCTACTGTATTATTGTAGGGTCTTTACCTGTAATGTAAAGCACTTTGAGGTGAATGTTGATGTGATTTGGCACTATATAAATAAAACTGATTTAATTGAATAGCATTTGGCTCAGTTGAAGGCTTTTTAGAGTATTTTTGAGACATCCAGCTAGTAAGGAATTATAGCATTTCATCTTAGGAGTAACGAATTGGGTAAATTGTTTTTATCCCCTACATTTAGACGGGATTTTACTAATTTTGATAGGATAAAAATGTCCACCAGACTTGTTTTAGTTAAAAGACATATTCTGATTAAGAATTAGTCAGTGGTTCCTGACTGTAGTAGTTCACAGCAAGCTTTGAACAGTGCAGTTGGGGTCAGGAATCAGTAGGAAAGCTGCACTCAAAATATAAATCAGGTATTATTGACATTTGCAGAGCTGGCTGCTGCAGTGCAGCCTTTTTTTTTTTTTAGAACTGTGCTCCATTTGCAAACGAAAATGCGAGCAACCTAATACCCAAAACAAAAGCAAAAGTGACAGGTGTCAAGACATGGATTGATAGAATTAAGCAGATCCAACATGTGATTACAATACCAGTGGGAAGCATATGGATTGTAGATATAAACCACTGCATGGGTGTGTGACTGCTTTGCGAGATGTTAAAGATGAGAGGGGATGAAAATTGGATTAAATTGTGTGTGGCAGCTCACTGTAGGGAGGTAATTAGGGACAAACATTGAGACGCTGAGTCTGATCTCTCCTGCTGGAGGTTAAGTGAAATAGGAGCTGTGAGTCCCAGTGTCCCGGTGGCACAGTGATTAGAATTTCCTAATGTGGGGCTAATGGGATGTCAGCCGGGAGCAGAACCCCTACACAGAACCACTCATAACAACAAGTGGTCAAAGATCAAGGCTGATTAAAGAGATAGAGAGGAGAAGGAAAAACACTTTGGCACTGGTGATGAAGAAGTAGACACTTAAGTGACTTACGAGTCCTGACCATCAGCTGTATCATCGCACCGTGCAGGAATGGGTACACGAAAAGTAGGGTACTACTGTTTTGTTAGATGCACAATTAGGATGTGGGAAAAACAACAGTAGCATTGTATTTTAATGACCAACAGATTGCAGATGTTTTCGCACGAGCGTGTTAAATGTATCAGCTTTATATGTCCATAACTCAAACCTTGTTGAGCTGCAAAACAGCAGATTTATACATCATTAAGATGAGCCACAAGGTAAAGTACATCTGTAGTCTGTATCTCACATTTGTACAAGCCAGATTTATATTTCCAGCTTATTTATTTATTTAATGGGAGCCAGTGTCTCCCTCCATCATCAGACTTGTGCCATTTTCCTACATAACCTCTTTACCGGCTCTTCCTCTGCATTTGTGTCTCTTCCTCACTTTGTTTGTATTTTTTTTTTTTGTTCACCCACTCCAGCCCCAGCTTGCGTTTGCATATTTGATCAACGTCTAGTGAGGATTAGATGGCATCCCTAGTTGCCAGTTGCAGCAGGGTCTGCGGTTGAAATAACAACAATAGCAGCACAACTTGACTGCCAGCCCCTGATGATGAAACGACATGGGGAAACAAAAGCAACCCCCAGAGCTGCAGATGTTGACGCTGGAAGCTGTTTGTTGTGTGGAGGTGTTTGTGAGGTAGAGGTGGCGCGCTTTTGTGTAAGTTTATGAGTGTGTGTTTGATTGTGTGTGGGTGTATGAACATGTACTTACACAACTGTGCGTGTGTGTGCGCGTGCGCTGTATTTCTGTCTGTGTGAATGTGTGTCAAAGCTGTGGCCCTGTGGCTATGAGGAACCCAGCTGGGAGAAAGAGTGAGCGCATTCATCCTGGCTCTCAGGGGCCGGGGGCCACACAGGTACCCGGTGTGGGGATGAAAGGCTGCTCTGCAGATGTCACCCGCTGGGGTTCAGTGGCCTAGCCAGCAAATGTCATGTTTGGCAGCTGGCACGCTGCTGCTCTCCCACCAGTTGTTGGCAGAGGCGTCTTCTAAAGGATGCTAGAGTGGGATGCAAGCACCGAGAGCGCCCTAATGGGAGCAACATTAAAGAGAGTTGCTGGCTTCTGTCTGTCATAGAACATTAACCTTGTCCTGTTTCCTGCTTCTCTCGGGCAGCTGACGCATATGAACTCTCTCTCTCTCCTATTCTCCCCTTTTTACCGCTCTACCCCCAGTGACTTACCTACATGTGTGCATGCATGTCTTTCTTCACACAACGCTACTCTCCATTGAACTCACTATCAGCCAGTTTATGCGCCTGTGAGGTCAGTTGACCCACACTACAACTTATCATTCTTGATTGAATTTGGCCCGGTTATGTGTCTCTTTCTTCCTCCAGTCTAGTAAAATAAAGGTGTTTATTGTTACAATATTAAAATGATTGGATGAAAAAAGCAAAACTACTCAGATTTTAGTTTTCAGAGCTATTCGTAACATTGTGCCATCATTTATACGCACAACTTTTTATTTTTCCTTATTTTTCCTTCTGTTTTCCAGAATCTACGGTTGTTGAGTGTCAAAGGTCTCATGACCGGCCAGTGGTTTTTAGACCCTCCTGCTGTCCTACAGCCGAGCTCCCTAGGGTTACTAAAACACAGAAACATCACCCACTATGACCACAGCACACATGACTTCACATCCAGATGTACAGACACATACACACAGAAGACAGACCTTCTTTAACAAACTAAATGCTATCTACATATTTGTGAAAAGCTACAGATGGTGTCCTCTGTTTTTACTGATGATTTAATGGCAGCAATCCAAGTGTGTACAATAGATCACGGTGCATATTTTTTTTTCCTTCTCGTAACACAGCGGTTCCATTGGCATCGACGATATTCCTCCAGTTGTTGGCCTTTGTGTTAATGCTCACCAGGGCCATGAACATGAAAATACCATTTGTGCAAATGCTAAAGGAAAGCATAAAAGAAAGGTCAGTTTCTCACTGTCAGATTGCTGTTTAACAATACATCAATCCCTCCATAATAGAAGAAGACACATGGGAATGACTGGATACCCTGTGGGTGTGTTTGAGTGAGGGAGTGAGATCATTTTTCTGGTCACTTTCGGTCAGTTAATATAAACATACAGTACTTAGGAACAAGACTAAATCAGTGGGTTCCCTTACTCATAAAACCCATTATCCAGTGGAAATGCCCAGAATTCCCTGTAATTTCCACTGATGCCCCCACTGATCCTTTATTTTGTTTTTATTTTTTGGTCTTGGTGTCTAAAGAGTAATGGTTTTCATATATTTGTGTTTCAAGATATCTGTCAATTTTTCATTTTAAATCTGATTATGCAGGCATGTGAAAAATCCACTTGCCCTTCCTTTAAATGATTTCTAATAATAATAATAATAACTGAACAATATATTCAGCTGCTTCTCGTGTGAATCACACAAACACTGGGCTTGGTGTTGGCGAGGCATGGGCTCCGACACTATCGTCATGGACTACAGCTAGTGATGTGACCTTCATATGATACCGCATAACCAGCATGATTCACTTCAAAGAATATCTTTCTCTACGTGTTCCTTTGCTGGACATGTGTGATAGTCAGTAAACATTTGGGAAAGTCATCTTTAACAGCTTTTTGGGATTTTTTGATGGGCAGGTTAGGAGGAGAAATTGCCTATAAATGATCACAGCTGGTCTTGTCACCTTCACCAATAAAAAATAATAATAATGAGTTTCCACATATACAATGGCATCTGTTTAGCAGTGCTTATCTGTGGGGAAACAGTGAGTCAGCTGTGGTTTCAAGTTTGCTACAAAACAGAACCAATGTTTGTAGTCGAGTTGAAATAATCGCTTCATGACAATCATGTCGTCATATTTTCTGATGCTGTTGAAAGATTAGTTTCAAATTTTTGAACTGTTTTCCAAGGCAGGCAGTAAACTGACAAAAATGTTAATGTTAACCTAATGAGTGCAAAGTGTGATAACAGAAACCTCTAGGTCCACATTCACACAGGTTTAGAGACTGGTCAGTGATCCTCTGGGGTTTTTGGTGGAGTACCTTTTGGTACCGCTTTCCAATTACAACCGATTTTACCTAGCAACAGTAAGCAAATTCCCCAAACCATTCACCAACTGGTGGGGAAATACACATTTTTCCCTAGCAACCAGTGGTTACAAGTGGTTGGGGAGTGGTTGCTAGGCAATTGCTAACCAGTCTTTCAGCCTATGTGATTCGTGATTTTTTTGCCTTTCAGCACTCCTTTATGTCCACTGTGTGTTTACAGCACTTATGAAGATATTGTCAAAAACATGGTTGGTGTACTTTGTAGTTTTGTTGAGGAGCACAAAATATGCTAAGCTACCATTCAAAACCTTTCAATGTTTAGACAGTATTGTTTATGTATTTTAGATTACATTCATGTCAGTAATCTAATACCACCAGAGAGGCATCTCATCTGTCCCATTTTTATTCTGATACATGACA